AGGGGCCCGCGTACTGCAAAAAAAAAAAAAAAAATGGAGGGTGGCTGCTGCTTCTGGGGGCGTTTTCTGCTCACTGATGAAAACCCGCACTTTCTTTACGGAGCAGGAAGGGGATGAGGACAGAGAATAAGCTAACATCTGTTTCCATCTCGCTCTTAAGGTTCTCCAGCTATCAGCATATTTTTCACTCGATCTTTAGGGTGTGGATCAAATCTCCTTGGGAGAGTCCCTCCCAACTGACTGAAAAATCCCTGTCATGCAGAGGTCAAATAATTCTCCATCTATTAATAACCGCAGATGGTGACCCTAGACCTTGAAATATTTTAATTTACACATATTAGTTTAAGGTTACTCCTTTCTCCTAATGCTGCTCTGAGCTCTCTTGGAGAATTATAAATAGGAACAAATCTTAGCTCACAAAGAAATGAGTGCCAGAACAAAGACAGTGCCGTTGCTTCCCACAAACTGAAGCCAACTGTGTACTCCCACAAGGGGGGAACATTTTTCCTCCGGCAGGTAGTTAAGCCTGGATATTTGCATTTCCTCCTCCTGGGAGTCACTTGAAGCAGCCTACTTGTGTGTGTTATTCATCTTTATCTGATAGGTACCAGGAGCATAGTAGGGATTCAATAAATATTTGCACCTGAGTGAAAGGGTATTAGCTGAAAAGCAGCCTGGGCAGCAATTGATTAGTAAGAAGGGAAAGCAAGAATTCAAACTCCAGCATCCGGGTTAGAACCTGTACTTTTGTTGTTGTTGTTGTTGTTTTCTTTTGCGGTACGCGGGCCTCTCACTGTTGTGGCCTCTCCCGTTGCGGAGCACAGGCTCCGGACGCGCAGGCTCAAGCGGCCATGGCTCACGGGCCCAGCCGCTCCGCGGCATGTGGGATCTTCGCAGACCGGGGCACGAACCCGTGTTCCCTGCGTCGGCAGGCGGACTCTCAACCACTGCGCCACCAGGGAAGCCCGAGCCTGCACCTTTAAAATCGCTTGGATACAAACTAAGATCTGATTTTTTTTTTTTTGAGATTTATTTGTTGGTTTGTTTGGCTGCATCGGGTCTTACTTGCGGCACGTGGGATCTTCGTTGAGGCACACGGGATCTTTCGTTGCGGCACACGGGCTTCTCTCTAGTTGTGGTGCTCAGGTTTTCTCTTCTCTAGTTGTGGTGTACAGGCTCCAGAGCACGTTGGCTCTGTAGTTTGCGGCACTCAGTCTCTCTAGTTGAGGCATGCGGGCTCAATAGTTGTGGCACGTGGGCTTAGTTGCCCCATGGCATATGGGATCTTAGTGCCCTGACCAGGGATCGAACCCGTGTCCCCTGCATTGGAAGGCCAATTCTTTACCACTGGACCACCAGGGAAGTCGCAGACTTGATTTTTTAAAAATAAAAATGAATGAATGAATGAGTGAATAAATAAATAAAAGTCAAGGAGGACTAAAATGCACGTGTTATTTAATGACGGCTTGCCAAATTCCAATTTTAGCAAATGGCAAAGACTTGCCTTCTTCTTTCACTGAAAATAGAAAATTCCTTAACCTCTTACTGCATCCATGCATCTTCCAACCCTCCCCTGAAGATGGTGAGGAATAGATCTGGATTAAGAAGCATTTGCATCGTTCTCTACCTTGTGGTGCAATAAAATGAGGGCCTGCTGGGGGACTCAGTGATTGTGAACAAGGGCTTCCTGGTGATTTTTTTTTCTTTCACAAACACACAACCTAAACTGGCCACATGGTAGGGGGCCTGATGAGCCTACTCTAT